GACACCAATGTCACTGTTCACGACACAGCAGCAAAAGACCCCAACGCCCATCCCATGACAATGGACTCCCCGACGTTGGGTCTTCCGGACATAAGTGCTGGAGAGCATGCGGTCCGCATCTTTTCCCCGGGAGCCGCCGACGACGACCAGTCTACTTGCGCCCGAACACCAGTGTCGGCCGAAACTAATATCACTGCCCTTGACCCCGAGCCCCAAGCTAGTTTAAGTCGACAGAGCCTCCATGCCTCTCACCGAACATTACTGAGTCAAATTATGCAGATCCGGGAATCGAGCCCTGACACATCGTCTTGTGATGAAGCGGATTACAGTTTTTCTGATACCGAGGATAGGGTATCAGTTCCAGTACTGCTGAGTGATGCCCCATGCTCTGAAGAATCGGTAGCCTCCAGCGATTGTCAAGTACACCCTGATGCTTTCGTGCATTCGGACCAAGTTGGTCATGCAATTTTGAACAGGTGGAGTATAGGTTCCTGGTCGTCTTCCCTTCATAACCAACAGTCCACGGACGACCATTGCGACGGCAGCGACGATGACCTCTCCCAGTTACAAGAAGTTGGACAGGACGGCGAGGTCGCTACCCAGTCCTGTTCCGCTTCGTCAAGTAATGCCCCCTCTGTCTCTGGTCATCAACCCACCGCATACGTCTCAGCCAATAGGGAACCTGTCACCGAACAAAAACCCGACCTCGTTTCTGAAAGAAGCGCTTATATGCATCCTAGCGCTCCCAACCTGGCGAGACTTGGTGGATGGGATTCGAAACGGGTATCTAGGCTATATATTGAGGAGCTGGCTCGTGGCAGAGGCCATAGTCTTCCGATGCCTGCAATCCGCGCGTCTCCTGAGGCTCGGCTTGAGAGGCGCACGGATGGAAGAACGGATAGCTTGACTGATGACCCGGTTGTGATATCCAAGGCCGATGGTTTCCCTCCTTCGGAACGAATTGGGCATACGGCAAGCCTGATATTTCGAGATGATTGGGAACATGCTTCTCCATCTATTGCAGACTGGATGCAAGCGGCCGTTACTGATGGAACGGGCCCCCAAGAGCAAGATAGCAATGGTATTTCTGCAGGAGATAATATATCAACTCCACGATTGGACACATCAGCTACAGATCGGAATGGGCACGAACAGGGCCGAGACACTTTGGGTCTCGCCATCAGAGTCCAACCTCCGCAAGAGCTCAAATCAGGCGAGATTCCAAAGACTGCGCTCCCCAGCTCTGATCCTGTCACCCAGTCGATCGCCAACGAGGCGATTAATCATTCGCAACAAAAGCCAGAGGCTGCACTGGGTATCCAGTCAACACAAACATCCTCTCGGTTCGTGCCGTCACTGACTTTCGCACCCTTGGGCCAAGTTGAAAGTGCTGGAAGCAGCGAAGACTCCTCTCTTCGGAGGCTTCAACCTACGCCCTCTTCCCACACCCTTGACTCATCAGCGACATCCCTGGTTCCTTCCACTACCGACCAGATCCGAGTCGATATTCGCAAATGCTCTCCATCCCCGGAGCAAAAACGCCTAAAGAAACGGAAGCATGTCATCAAAGAACTGGTTGATACTGAGTACAGTTTTGGAAGGGACATGAAGGTCGTTGACGATATCTACAAAGGGACTTCGAGTTCATGCTTGGATCTGTCACCCGAAGACGTCAAAATCCTATTCGGTAACTCAGATCAGATTGTGCAATTCTCAATGAGCTTCCAGGATGCACTTAAAGAGGCAGCAAGAAGTGTTTATGTTATGCCAAAATCTCAGCGATGGAGCAGTAAACGCAGCGCTCGCAACAATCATACCAATGCATCCAGGACAGACTCAGAGGCTGCGAGTGGCGCAGGTGAAGTCTCTGATACAGAAAAAGACAGATTAACCTTTATTGGCCAGGTTTTCCTGGCTCATATTGCTCCCATGGAGAAAGTGTACGCCGATTATCTGAAGAACCACGATGCCGCCAACAAGAAACTTCAAGTGCTGCAACGAAACCCGAAAGTAGCCATTTGGCTGAAAGAATGTCGGGAGTGGGCTTCAGATCTCACCACTGCTTGGGACCTAGACTCGCTACTTGTGAAGCCGGTGCAACGAATATTAAAGTACCCCTTACTCCTGAGCGAGATTCTAGATTCAACCCCCAGCGACCACCCGGACCGTCCATATCTGGTAAATGCTCTAGGAGAGGTCACTAACATCTCGGTCCGTATCAACGAAATGAAGAAACGAGCAGAGTTGGTCGGTCAGGTAGTTGGCCGCAAGAGGAAAGAATCAGATGTTAGAACCGGGCTGTCAAAGGCGTTTGGTCGTCGCACTGAGAAATTGAGACAACAAGTTGGCCTTTCCGATATGTTCGAAGACAAGCAGTACGACGCCCTATCGCAACGATTTGGGGATAGCTTCTTCCAGCTACAAGTTGTGATGCGTGATGTAGAGATGTACACACGGGAGGTCCAGAGCTCCTTAGATCGATTTAGCGAGTTTGTCGCTGCGATTGAAGGATTCGTCGATGTGGCCCAGTCGGGCTACTTGGACGTGGAGAGCAGGTGGCGTGACCTGAAGATGGCAGTACGTGAAATAATGGCCACAGCTCTGCCTGAACATGTAAGTGGAGCAGACTCTTGACGTGTGGAAATGAGATTTCAGGCTAATGCAAGATGCTCAGCTCGCCGTTGTCCGGAAAAGCGTGATTGACCCGATGGTTACGCTGCTCAAACTTTACGACGGGCCCCAGAGAGTGATGAAGAAACGGGACAAGCGTCTCATGGACCATGCCCGATTCAAATCCATCAAGGACCGTGGTGACAAGCCCGACAAGAAAACGACAGAGCAAAGCGAACAATTCGTAGCTCTCAATGAGACCCTCAAGGACGAATTGCCCAAGCTCTACTCTCTGACTGCTAGGATGATGGAGGCATGCCTGAAAAACTTTGTGCACATACAAACTACGTGGTTCAACATCCTCCAAAAAAGATTTGCGGATCTCATCGACCCCTTTCCCGACGATATCCAGCAGATCATCGGTGACTGGTCTGCAAACTTCACTTTGGCGGAGGCGCAGGTTTTGTCGCTTGGCATGTGCAACGGATCGCTGCTGGCTGATACTATCAATCTTGTCAATTTCAACACGCCTTCGACTGCACCTACCATTAGTTCGCCTCGGCGGCCGTCAACTGTGAACAGCACTAGCACTCGCATAGGGTCTACCATGGGTGAATCACCTAAAGTCTCCCACGACTTCGGTAACGGCAGCAACATCTTCCAGTCTCCAAGCCTCGACGCTCAATCCCTGGGATCGTACGGCCGCCATCGAGCCGATTCAGCTATCTCAGGTCGTGCTGCGACAGAAAGCTCTGAATTCCCACGGAGTCAGATTCTGCAGCAGATCACGAACTCCTCCTCTGCGTCCATGGCCCAACAGCCCAAGCCAGAGTCCTTTCCCAGCCTGCCGAGGTTAAGTCTTGACTCGCCATTCCTCGTCGACATTATGGCCACTTCATCAAACAACGACCGAATCTCTGAGAATCCACCAACCTCTCCTGGAGGTCGTTATTCGGGCTTTTTCTCGTCCGCTATGCCCATGTCGGACAATCCGCAGGACGACGCACCTGTGGAGGACACCGCGCCCAAGAAGCCGACGGTACTCTTCCTCGCTGCAAGCATCTATGAGTTTAATATCGATCGGGCGCGGCGTGAAGCCGGTTATCCTTATCTCACTTATGTCGCCGGAGAGATTTTTGATGTCATCGCTGAAAAGGGTGAGCTCTGGCTTGCCATAAACCAGGACGATCCAACCCACCAGGTGGGGTGGATCTGGAACAAACACTTTGCGAAGCTCTCGAGTTAGAAGTCGACTACGCGGGTAAAATTATGCGTGTTATGATGTTATATGTTTGCATGACGATTCCCAGCGGAATACTTGAATTGTTTTTTCTGTCAGAGTACCATGGCCTTGGATGACCTTTCATCTACGCTTTATATTCATATCACACTCAACTGCAACGGTGGATGAATCTGATGCATGGGCCGATGTTGGACTTATCCTTCATATTTGCTTTTTATTGTCTGTTTATGGCGTGCATTTTCTGATATGACGGACAAGGAAGATCTTTGGTTGCAATTACGCGGGTGGAAAAGGAAGCGACTGATTGACCCACTGCCACTGCTCTTACCATTCAGAAGGCAATATTCGAATGTACATTTAGATACCCCTGATTGAGCGACGAATGCATTAAATTCGAACGTCTATACCGTTTTACACCGTAGTCTAACGTAGATGCCTCCAAAACTCGCCCACACATAGAGCAAGCCGCGGTAGGATCACGTGCAACACCAGCCACGCGCAGCACCAGCCACGCGCAGCACCAGCCCCAAGTGACGTCTTGCACCGCGGCACCTTGAAGTGGCTCATGGATCGCCGCAGGGAGCAAGCTGGAATCTTCCTGTCGACGACGAGGAGCTCGGGGGCGAAGGGGCTCCGTCAGTGATATCAATCAAGCCTTACTTCCAGGTTCAAACAATTGTGAACACGACTATAACCGAAGCCTTTTCGTCAACGATTCCCCTGCGCCGATCCCGTTATCCATCTTCCCCACCCCCGCAAGGTCGTACGAGCCCATTCTTGAAAGGAATCTCCGATTCCGCTGCGTGCTCGTTCAGTTGATGCTTGTCTTGCAAAGTAGCGGGCTGAACGAGAAGCTATATTTATCTTTGGATTTGTATATTCCTCATTTTATAGGTGCCTTTAAATCGGTACGAGCGCTGTGTTTGATCGGTTCACACGAAATTCATCCCGTTCCGTATCGCCGAAGTTGGATTCTATTCGCACAGTCACGGATTGGTATATACTGAGCTCGGAGGATTGAGTGCAGGAGCCGGACACAATGCGGGACGGGGCTTAGGAAAGCTGCACAAAAAGATGAGGCGGTTTGGTGATACTGTAAGTCGGGCAACCTACCGCGTGAGGCAGTCGGCGGGACTGCGGAGATTTGATCTGGGGATGTGCTGAGCTTTGACAGTTGAACCCGGAGGATGCGTATCTTAGTTGTGAGTGGTGTTCCTCTTCGATATTGTTTCTTAGAACAAAGTGGATTTGACTAGGGCTGGTGTTGATAGACTATGATATACGGTGTACGGTATCCCCCAGGTTTATATCAGCGTGACTGGATGGCCTGACAAATTGCAGTGACGAGGGAGGACATGCAGACTCTCAAGAATGACTGGCTTACGGATAATGTGGGTTGCATAGTGGCCGTAGAATGCATGCGGTAACTAACTTGCTCGCAGATTATTTCCTTCTGGGAGGAGTAAGTCAGGCGAGTGTTGTGATGGCTGTCGGAGAACTGACGAATCCAGATATCTGGAGAGGGAGTTCCTCGTTCAGTATAAGACGTCCAATATTGTGCTTCTTCGTCCCAGCATGTCTTTCATGCTATTACAGACGCCGAATCCTCTCTCATTGCGTGAGGCCTTACCCGACTTCTCTCGTACAACGCATGTCTTTCTTCCCATCAACGATTGCCGGAACGTGACTGAAGCAGAGGGTGGCTCGCACTGGTCGCTTCTACTGATATCCATTGTTGACGGCGTGGCATTTCACTATGATTCGCTGCCTCCGGGGAACTACTGGGAGGCAAGAGCCGTGACGCAGAAATTTGGCACGCTTCTCAACCGGCCAATACGGTTTATTCATCTGGAAGATTCCCCCGTACAGGAAAATGGCAGCGATTGCGGCGTCTTTGTATGCCTGAGTATGCGGCACCTTCTTCTGAAACGACTGTTAACCGCCAATGCAAATGAGAAAGTCAGCATGAGCTTGGGTGGGAGGAAGGTTGATGCTCGTGCTGGTAGGAAAGAGATCGCCAAGATTATCGAAGGTTTTCGAAAAGAAGGCGAGAGGCGTCGGTCGTAAGTAAACTCTCCTCATTCGTCTTCCTGAAGATGCCGGCCCGTACTGATGGAGAAAAGTTCAAGTCTGAGTCCTATGGGGAAGAAGTCGTCGAGTCCTCCTCGGATCGAATGACGCTAGAGTCAGCAGTAACGCGGGCATGCTACCCAAATATTTGAATAACGAGGGCGCACCGGAGAACAGGCGCAGGTATAGGTCAACACAAGGGGGCTGAGAATTGTTGTTTATGATTCTACATGCATACGATGATATGAATTTACCAGTCGTAACAGTGCTTTGAATGGATGATACCTTTTTGTTCTCTCAAGGAGTCTTGAATTGGGACAACATTTTTCCTGCTCCTGCCTGCTTCTAACGTCTCACACTTTCCTAGGTATCAGCGGACTAATGAGCAGGATATGCCTGGCTACGACACGCAAATGACCGTTAGCTACGTCGACATCTTTGCAGGTTTACAAGCTTCTGTCGGTTGGATATATGATGCTGGGCTCCTTGATTATCTATGTTCTCCCATGCCATCCCATGTCAATCGATCTAATGTGCAACTGAATGTCGTTCCTCCATTGCCATGGCTGCCGGTATGCGCCTCCCTTCTGCCGTCATTGCCTTCGTTGCTTCCTCACGCCCCTCTGTCGGTGCTGCTCTTCCCTGCTCGACTTCCTCTTGAGCTCCTTCCTCTACTTCTCTCTGGAACTCAAAACAGATCCTATAAAATCCCTCTTCTCTCCTCCATCCTCTTTTCCCGCTTTCTTCTTCTTTCTCTCCTCAACACCATATGGTCGTCTGATGCTAGTATCGTGATTTCACGCTCTGCGTTCGTCTCAACTTCATATCGTGTTTCTGCGCTTACTGCTCCTGCTACTGCTACCACCTTTTTCTTGCTCCCGTTTTCCCCTTTCCCTCTTTTTCCGTTCTTGACCAAATTGTTTTGACGGTCGTTGTTCGCAATGTCTCGTCTCAGCAAGCTTGGGTACAACCTCTCCTCCCTCTCCCCTTCCTCCCTCGCCTCTTCCTCCTTCTCCTCTTCCTTCTCCCGCTTCAAGAATCGCCGGACTCCGGCGGTTCCTTGCAAGTCTTTCGTGTCAGACTGTTCGTCCATCCGTTCAGCTGGCGTCTCTTCTTTCACCGAGGTACGTAGACGTTCATATCTTTCCACTCGGTCTTCCTGTGCAACTGCCCCTGCCCCTGCCCCTGCACGTTCCGCCCCTTCCCTTTCGGCTCCTTCTACTCGCTTCGTTCGTGCACCTGTTCCAGCTCGCACTGGGACAGGTGACACTCTCACCCGCAGCCTTCCCTCGCAGAGTCGAGGAGCTGCTCAACGGGACGGAACCCTTGACGTCGTCCATTCCATTATGGAGAGAGCTCGACTCCGCTCTCAAGCGCTTCGTTCCCGCTATGGTCACCCAGAGAGACGACGAGTCGACCCTAGAACCCAACCTCGAGTCGAACCCTCTTCCACTTCTTCTGTTCCGACCACCCGTCCCACCCGTTTCACCGAGCGCATCCGCATTCTCGCCGAAGAAGCAGCCGCTAGTTCTGCCAAACGCCGCGCCACTCTTTCGAAACTCGCTGCCTTCGACGAAGTTGTCGCCCGTGTCAGAGCACGAAAACAGTCGACGCCTTCCGCTTCTCCCATTGACGCCACCCGTCCTGTCACTCGCGCGGAACGAGTCCGTCCCTCCGTTCCTCCTGTCAACGTAGCTCGTCCTGTCACTCGTCCTGTCACTAGCTCAGAACGAGTCCGTCCCTCCGCTTCTTCGGTCTTCGACCGCATCTCCAACCTTCGTGCCGCCCAGGCCGAGCGACGCCGTTGGATCGACGAGATGATCACTCAGCAAAAAGAACGTGCTTTGACTCGGGCCACTACTTCCGCCGCCATCGAGCAATTCCGAGCCAAGCATCAGGCACGACTCGCCAACCGATCCCGCGAGGGACACCTGACGTCACCTCACCCGGCCCCGATTAACAGCACCCGAAACACGGCGATTCCAGCAGCAGACCCTGTACGCACTCGACGCTCGACTCCGTCCGCCGACCGACTCCGCAAGGATAAACCAGCGAAGCGCGTTCGTTTCGGAGATGTTACGGTACAGCCTGTGTCTCGCTGGATCGTCAAGTCGAAGCACGTGCACAAACGTAGTTACTAGCGGCGACCGGGCCACTTCCACTACTCTTGCTCAACCCGTGGGGGTCTGATGAGGATGGCTGGTTTCTCGAGATAATACTCGTTTCCACTGTGACACCGTATTGTCTATTCGTTCAGCTCCGTCCCTTCACAGTTGTCTGCTGGCTCTGGTCTTCGATGGGGAAGACCAACCAGGTACTGCTGATGAGTTTATAGATCACTGGCGTACTCTGTCCTGTTGAGGTATTGATGGCGCTACTGCTCTGACCTTAAGGTGAGTCGACCGTCTCCTGACATCATCGAAGCTGGATTGACTGGAATTGTAGGACATTCCGTGTGGTAATGACGCACCCCGCCAGAAGCGCCAAGGGCGGCGCTCCGCCCCGCCGAGCCGATGCCGAGAGCGACACCGAAGACTGTATACGCCTCTGGAGGCTTGTGGTGGCGCAAAAGTGTAGAGTTGGTGGTGAGTTGCTCTCCTTTTGTTTCTGCTACTGACACTGATACGATCTAGTGATTGGTGGCCACTCTTGAAAGACTGTATTGCAGCCGAACTTCGATTTGACTTCAGGTGAGTGCTCTTCTATTGACAGAAGCCGCGTTTCTTGAGTTGGCTGACTTGGATTGAAGCGCCAGAGGCCCGCGGCCAATCGAGGGAGTCTCCAGGATGGTGGGGGAGGATGGTGGCTTGTGTTGTTGGAACGCATGGTAAGCTCCGATTTTGGTGGCGGCTTCATTGGCAACTGCTGAGATCTCCTAGCGTGTTAACGGTCCTGTGGTTCGCCGAAAATTGGAGGTAGGAGGGATTCCGACAGATACTGGGTAAGCTTGGTGTCCTCTGTTGTTTTGTTATTCGCACTGACTGAGATGATCTAGGGTGGGCGGATTGGAGGTGTGCGCTGGCTGAGGTTGTTGGGAAGCATCCGAAGCAAGATTCGTGAGTCAAGCTTTCGCTTGGTTGTTTCTCAAAGCCGCTGCTAACGTACCACATCAAGTACTATGATCATCGGTTGCCAGGTGTTTGGACGATGCGGGTTCGGTGCGTCGAGGTGGATGGATTCTGTGTTCGGGTTGTTCGTCTTGTTGTCTTTCTGTTTGTTGATTTGCGCTTTGCACGTACGGACTGATGGTTTCCATACTTATCTCTTATTCCAGTCCGCTTTGATTTTGGGCTTTGACAATGCCATTTTTCAGTTTTTCACTCCACATACTCATTTATGCCTATCAGACGAGGTTCGGCGCTTGCCTTTCATTAGATTCGGGCCTCAGACTCTGCAACATTCAGTATCGTTGCCTCGATCTTAAAAAGGCACATGCATGCAGGTCTGGTGGGGCATATCCAAGCACAAGTTGCGGTAGATGAAGACTGCAGGGGCTTGACGGTAGTTGCTGGACGATAGCTGTGGCAGTCTCTCCACACTGCTGGGCGAACAGCTTTGAGTTATATGCCTCCCTATATTGTTCGTCTACGTATCCGAGGCAGAACAATGATTGGGGTGTCTTCATGCAACCTAGACTGGTGTAAGGGGTACATAGCTGCATACGCTGCATGCACGGCATGCATCCGCATCTGCATATCCCTACATATCAGATGCAGGAGGTCAGGGCCTACTCTCGATAATCAGGTAATTAGAGCTTTATATCTACTGGTGACATAGGTGCAGGTCAAAAGAAGCAAACAACTCTGGTTTTTCTTTCGCTATGACCATTGTCTGCTTACTTTGCTCCAGATCAGAAGGAATGGATCTATCCATTGTGGCCATCAACTATGTGAACTAAATGCAATGTGACTCATCTGTCTCACCCTGCTGATGCAAGCGTCCAATATATCCACAAAAGCCCTGTGTGAGAGTCCTTGAGTTCGATGCGATCTGATACTTGGTTCTTATAGGCAAATATGGATGAGAGGCGTGCAGCCCCAGTCGCAGTGGCTCTTCCACTGCCATTTCCGAGTCTGCTTTCATGGTCGTTGGCAGACAGAACAGTGGATAGCTGAGTAAAGATGCGCATGTCGCATGCGGATTTTCTAGAATGGAGCTTGAGCTGATCGCGACTTATGAGACGACTGCGATTTACCAATCTCAATTGGAGATTAGAAAGAGAATATAATGTTATGATTCGCATGGCCAGACTGCCTGAATGGAAGAGAAAAGAGACAGCGGAGAGAACAACGCCGGGAACGCCAGCTCATAAATGCAGCGACAGCAGGCGGGACAAGGTGATTCAAGACTGCAGGATATCGAAGACGAATGAAGACCAGTAGAAAGATATAGAAACGTCGCCAGAATCAATGAGAGAAAACCGACGTGCTGACAGCCCAAAGTCTATACGAAAAAAAAGGTCAAGTGACGAAGCGATGCCTTAAGAGACGTGCGAAGAAGAACCGGAACCAGCACAAGCACAAGGCTAAAATGGGTATGAGACGCCAATCATCAAATCGGAGCAGGCCGGTCATTGATACATATCCGCGCGCAATAGACCAGTAAACCTTATAACTATAGCATTGCAAGGTCAAAGGTAACCAGCTGGCAGGCCAGATTTAAGTTATGGCTGTTATGGGGCGTAGGTGTCTGGCGGACCTCTGGCTGGTCGGCTCGGCGCTTCTCGCGGGATCGCATATACATGCCGTCCGATTGGGAATCGGTGGCCGTGGGTGGTGGATCCATCGGACGAGGCACTGCTGGATTCTGTGCCTGCTGTTGCTGCTGCTGGGCTATAATCTCTCGAGCGTAGAATTCCACCAGCATCGTACCGTACGCTTCGAGTTCTTCAACAGAGATTGAGAGGCGGAAATCGTTCAGGAGGAGGAATTGAAGTTCGAGATGGTTCAATTCGACTAGGGGGAGGCCTCCGACCTAAATGAAGTTCAGCGAATTTGTTCTTACCTCGGTTCAAGGGTTACGAACCTTTGCGTATCGAGAATTAGTATAAAAAACATCAGAGAAGAATTTACTGGCACAAGTCACGCCCGCGATGACCAGCCGATGAATGTTAAAACTATCGACGACGAAAAAATGCGAGAGGCTCTCGTTCTCGTCTTGAGGGTAAAGAGAAGGTGAAATGGAGGACGGACTCTTTGGATCCTGCGCTCGCATCCCGGTCGATGATGGCGGAGTGACCATCGGGGACGCTTGGGTATGAGGACCGGTCGACGAATCAGAAAACCTCGACCTGGATGGGTCAGTGTGCAGGGTTGCTCCACGGTCCCAGCGGCGCTGCAGGCGCTCGAGTTGGCCCTTATTCACCAACTCCGTCATGCGATCGAAATATACCAACAGGCTGAGAAACACTTCGTAGGTGGTGGGACAATATTTGTGGATACGCGTTAGGTAGCTGAGAATAGTGATACTCGGTACGTTCTTGCCATGAAAAGCGAGTACGCTTGTAGCTTGTGGGCTGAGGTTGGCCGTGCTATCAGGTGGCGGAATATGTCGATGGACATGCTCGTGGTGCAGGTCGTTGGTGGTGGTAATTTTCGTCAGGAGCCCCGCTACCATCTCGATGATATCCGTGACCGGCATGGAACTGATTTCATACTGACGCTCTTGGTACCATGACCCGGGCGCCTGGCTCCTCTGCGACTGCGCCAAAAACTCTTCGCTAGCGAAGCTCTGGATATGAGACAAGTCACGAACTTTGATGCGACTCGGTGAACTGGCCTCGGAGCCTCCAAGAGAGCGCAGCGACTGGTATGTCGGCCTCAACCGCGGCGACGCGGGTGATGAGTGGCTATACGAAGCGACCAGTGTCGGCTCCGTGGCCGTCTGGCTGACATTTCCGAATCGGTTGGAGGTGTATGGAGTCGACTGGAAGGAAGCTTCAGGATGGTGTGCGTGGTTGGAGGTGGTCGAGCTCATTGAGACCGAATGGGGAGGAGTGTGGGTTGGCCCTGGGGTAGTTGAAGACGCCCGGGTGGAAGGAAGGGAGTTGATGTGAGATTGACGGGAGATGTAGGCCGGTACATCATATGGTGGTGGGTGGGAGTGCAGGCGAGCAGAGCCAGCGGCAGACGTTGATGGCGGGGCCGTGGACGAGGTGGGGTAGTGGTCGCGGACGTAGACCTGGAGCTTCCGGTCTCCAGCTGTGACGACGGATGGTGAGATGAGGTCCGATAAACAGATTCCGATGGATTTATGGAGCCGCCCAGCATCGTGTAGGAGCTATCAATTCGATCCGACCGTGGTTGATTCAGAACGACCGATCCCATGTCAAGCCGAGGAGAAAATAGATAGAGGGCGAGTGTGAGGAATCGCGCGCGTAACGGCGAATCCTAGAGCAACAGTGGCGGAACGACAATCAGCCTCAAGAAAGCATTGAGGACAAGCGAAGTGGGGAACATAAGGGAGTCGAGTCTCGATCGCAAGACTCGGAGACAGAGTGCGTGATGGGCTAAGGAGAAGGAGGGGTTGATTACTATTCTATTATAAACAAGAAATTCAAGAGACGTTAGAAGAGCCTGGACCTGGAGACCGCAGCTTTACCCGCGATTATTACTGAAAAGGTCACAGTGCACGGGAGGCAATGGACCCGACCCAGGCTGGAAAAGGGTTCACAGAGGATGAAAGGGAGTTCGATGATCCATGGCGAAGATGAGGTTCCAAGGAAAAAGCAAAGATAGGACGGAAAACAAACTGAAGAAAAAGAGAGAGACCAGAGAAGGATGGAATGAAGGATGGGAGAGTAAAGGAATGGGGCGGAGGATGAAATCAGGACAGATTCAGTTCAAGTCAGTCAGTAGTGGCGAAGGCCATAGACTACTACAGGATGATGATGAAGACGTCTTGACAACAACAAGGAAATCTGAAGGATGGGGGTTCCACAATCACCAAGTGATGATGTTGACTATGATGAATACTACTATCTATCTATGCTGACGATCAACCAGAAAAATAAAATAATACTGATTGTGATGTATGGAATTCAGTCGGTCAACTCCATCAACATGAATCTGATATCTAGCCACGGAATCCTTCTACCTCTCTACATACTACTATCTTAAAGCTTCAATACTAATCATATACATCCTTGTTAAGGAGTTAAGCCACAATTACTTCTACCTTAAGTTGTCTTACCAGAGAACTCCGTACCCCAGGTAGCAATAGTACCACGACTATCATGATGATCCTTATTGGATATTGCTGACTATTTCCTCGTTCTCTGGCGATAAGACGATGTTCTCCGCACTACTAGCGACAACTCTTTATCCCTCAAGAGAATATACATTTCAACAGAGTGTCCGGACGATATACTTTATGTCCATGGCCAGAAAGAGACACATACTCGGATACTCCAAGCATCCGGACCGGAATTCAAAGCGACTCAGTACTACGGGATAGTTACTACCTAGACAGCACTAGCTATGATACCTTAAGGTCAAGCTTGTCGCCCAATAAGGGCGGGCTCCAGCGGACGAATGACAGGACTCTGACGGTGCAGGTGTTGAGGGGATACGCAATGATTCGGGTTCGCAAAAGGTCTGGGCTAGTAGGGAGTATGACTGGTTCATCTCTTCGAGTTCTCCTGTTACGATCTTTGGTCCACCGACATATGGACTATTACATTGCATAGTAACGATTTTTGATGCTGAGTGATTCAGGTCACTGGTTTATTATTCATTACTTCGTATTCTGTTTGACACAACTCAAATTGGAAATGAGCAATCGCATCACTGGAAAGAGCAATGTTCTCCTAGTCAAAAAACATCATTGGTTTCACTTCTCACCGAGAATCCCCGCGATCATGATACGTATGAAACGCGCTACGGAGTTCCTAATATTATTATCGAACTTGAGGAGCTCGACGACAGGGGGCTGAGATTGTAGGTAAGGTCTTTATTATTATCAGGTCCATTTAAATCCCGCAAACCGTCACTTTCAGATGTCCGGCTCATACTCCGCTACACCACTTTGCTTGAATGTGAAGAATATCTCTATCCTGGTGTTGCCTCTCGACAAGGCAATTGCCCGTCCTTGCGACCAGAGAGGTACTGCGTCAGCGGATATAGATGCAGATGAGCACATTTTAAGTGGTCAACATCATTCAAATCAAATCATCCCCGTATATGATTGCACTCATGATCTGTTGGTTAAGCCGGGTCCAGTGTACTCCGTGTCTGGCAAATACAAATGTCTCTCAGATCCCCTGGACGTCAGCACCACCAATCGAATCACACCTCCGGAGCTGCCATCCCACTTGATCGCCTCCTGCAAGGCGTTGCGCACGAATTTGATGCCTTCTTCCTCCGTCATGTTCTCCTTCCAGTGAGCATCGCAATAACCGTAGATGTAAGTTGATCCCGAGCCGCCAATGGCGTAGGACTGCTTGTGTAGAGACCCGCCCAGAGGTATCGAGTACACCTGACCGCCATGGCGTGGGTCGTATCCCGCGATGATGATACCAGCACTACCATCAAATCCCGTCAGTACGTTTTTGCTTCTCCTTCAGCAAGCTGGGGGAGGTTATCAACCTTAGCATATCCTTGTTCTCATAGCACAACTCCTGGAACAGAGCCGCGGCCACCTGGGTGCTGGGAGGCTCATTGTTCACGATGCCGTACATGTTGAGATGATAGGAGACGATGTCCGCAACAGCCTGTGTGTCCGCCGCAGATCCCGATCGACAGCACCAGATGGTATCGTGAACCTGTGTGAGTTTGTCGGTGACTCGGTTGGCGATGTAAGCTCCAGTAGTTGTCCGGCTATCTGCTCCCAGAATAACACCATCCTTGAAGTTGATAGCCATACTATCTGCAATCAATATACCAGCCAAATCTACAATGTGAAATCAGCTCACTCACATCGAGGTACCTAGGCTGTAAAGGCACGGTAGTTAGCAGTTTGTCAATGAGGACTTGTATGAGCAGGAGTTGAAAGACGTACTTGACCTCTCCGGTCTTCAAGTGGTTCATGTCAATGTGAATTCCATCTAAATAGACCATCAGAAATTGCTCTGAACCATTGTCACTCGTCGATAAACCAGTGACTTACCTTCCCCGAGCATCCCTGTGACGCCGTGGCCGACCATTGTGTCTGTGGCAGCTGGAGGCTGACGGAAAATTCTCGTTTGACAAAATGTACACTGTCGGAGTGCGAAGAACAGAAAGATTGAGAGCCGTCCAACAAGCTAAAAAATGGGAATGGCCGGTTGATGACGAGTGTGGATGTTGGTGGATGATAGTAGGTAGTCTGATGATGATAGCTCTGACGGAGCTTCCAACAGGCAGAGCGCGTTACGTTGTCAGCTCAAGCTGATTCTGCCGGGCGGTGTGGTGGATACAGTTTCCTATTGGCCTGGTTGGGGAAAGCATTCTCCCCGCATATAAAGTAACAATTCTGAACTCCAGCCATCGATGCTACCATAATATAACCTGTTTCATACTAAACCAGATTGCTAGTCATCTAGGCAAATCTCATCCTAGTCATCACTAATTTTCTTGTCTATCATGACTTACTGATGTGATCATCCATCCACATGATTGACTCTCGAAAGACATAACCACATCATCAGTATAGTCTCTCATTCAGTCTGCTTATCTAGTCTTACATCCGCCGCAATGTCCGAGTCTCCTCCGCCCCCGCCGTCATGGAGCATCGCTGCCATGGCTAACAATGCCGTTCATTTTCTTCGATTACCAGTTTTGGCATCTTCTGGTCTCGCTGTTGTTGCCAGTGGTCTCTTATACTTTAAGCAAAAGTGCGACCCTGACTACTAGATAGACAATGTTCTGTCTCTTGTATGGCCGGAAACTGATCGCGTGTCCAGTGAGCTGATCTATCCTCGCAATGTCCCCACCGACGCCCGCACCAATATCCCCAGTCCCCGACAATTCGGCATCAGCGACTATGAGGATCTCCAAATTCCCACACCGGACGGAGAGTCGTTACATGCCTTCTTCATCCGTCCCGCAAACAAGCAACATGCTCGGAACATAACTGTGTTGATGTTTCACGGGAATGCGGGCAATATTGGCCACCGTGTCCCTATCGCCAAGGTGCTTCAAGAAATTCTCGGCTGCAACGTGTTGATGTTGGAGTACCGCGGCTATGGTCTCTCGACGGGGGTTCCAGATGAGGCAGGGCTCAAGATCGATGCGCAAACAGGCTTCGACTACTTGCGGGAACGGGCAGAGACGAGGAACACGAAGATTATCGTGTACGGCCAAAGCCTGGGTGGTGCAGTAGCCACTAATTTGGTTGCTGAGAACCAAGATAGTGGTGATATTGACGGGCTAATACTGGAGAATACATTCTTAAGTATCCGCAAGTTAATCCCGAAGTAAGTACTCCACTGTCTTGGCTTGATATTCGAGTGATCATACTCACATGAACAGCGTTTTTCCTCCCGCCCGGTATCTCGCTCGACTGTGTCACCAGCATTGGGCGAGCGAGGAGGTTATGCCGAAGATTAAAGATGTGCCGATTCTTTTCCTGAGCGGGTTGAAGGATGAGTTGGTTCCGTAAGCTTATTGTCTGTCTTCCTGTTGAATAGGACACTAATCGTTGATGCGGTTCAGCCCCTCAAACATGACACAGCTCTTCGCAGTTTGCAAATCGAGCCGCAAGGTCTGGCGCACCCTTCCAAACGGCGGGCACAATGATACTGTCGCCGAATCAGGCTACTTTGAGCATATTCACGACTTTGTCATGGAGGAAGTGATACGAAAACAATAGAACAGGCTCATCGCTGACTGGTCTAATCGATCCAAATCCGCTGCATATAAGACGCACTGTTGTGTGCATTATCGATACCCCTCTTCGACATTGACTTGCATGAACTCCATGAGTTTGGCTAGCTGTTTGACACTACGACACACCACGAGGATTCAATGTATCCTCTACTGTTTGAACGGTGCGCCATATTGACGCACGCCTTCTCTTCACCAGCATCCTCTTCTATCCGAGGGTTCACCTCCCCTTACTCGATTTATACTCTGTGACTGGAGTGGACGATACTTCGTGCGCATACTACGTATTACCTGGCGGCTTGTCTCGCTTTGTTCCGACGATATCAGACTATTTTAATGTGTTTTACTCACGGCGTTGTCCTCTTAGCTTGGTCGCTTCCCTTTTTCTTCTTCCTCCTGTTTGTCAAGGTGTATGAGCTGAATGTTTGGATGGCTATATGTATTAGATTCGATTTATGATTAGCATATGGGGATCGCTAGATTCTGTAACCAGTCGCTATTCAGTATCATTTGACCAAAGCAAGTCGGTATTGCGAGACATATTCTAATCTATGAATGTACAACAAGTATATAAATACAACCTCAAACGAAGTCTCTACAGCCTCTCGGCCTCCTCCATCAACTCCTCCATCTTGAACCCCTCCACATCACCACGAGTAAACATGCGCACCAGCTCCCCCTTGCGCCCACTGGCCTGGCCCTCGAAATCATAAAACCTCTGCAAACAGCTCACCAACCAACTCGCCTCGGTCGTCGAGATCCCCGAATCCGGCATGACCTGCCCATGCATCAGCACCAACCCCTTCTCATCCGCCAGATCCAGGTGGTGCGTGATCGTCGTATGCGGCTGCGCAAACGCCCCGTGCAGCTTGTACGCGGCCAGCTGGGTGAAGATCACCGTGGAGGTGTGGTTGTTCGCTGAGGAGCCCGAGGGCGCGGGGGAGGCAGGCGGGTGGAACGCCCACTGCAGGAAGTGGATGTCTGCGCCGACGGCGTTGGGGTCCACGGTGGAGCCGTCTTCGGCGGGTGCTTGCTCGGTTGCAGAGCGGGGGAGGGGGAGGATGAATTGTGGGTTATGGCGGGCGGCGGCGGCGATGCGCTGGTATGTTTCTAGTGGGATGCAGGCGCAGATGGAGTTGGGGTTGTTGGCGTGGCGGAGGCGCCAGAGGGCTTCTATCTCCTTCTGGGGGAGGGCGAGGACTTTCTCGACGTCGAGGTAGGAGCTGAGCGGCTTGATGCCTGTGGAAGAGCCTGAGACGGACGCTGCGGCGGCGGCGGCCTTAGGAGACGGCGGTGGAGTAGGAGGGGTGGTGGATGGGCGGGTGTGAAAGACTTCGGGGAAGAGGGAGGTGTAGTTGGCTCTGGGGTGAGAGGCGTGGCTGCGTTGCGGCGGAGGCCTTGGATCTTTTCCTTGTAGGCTTCCTTGAGTGACTCTACTGAGCCAAGACCTTCTCTATAGACGCATTGTCAGCGTACATTCACTAACGTCTGAGAGTCACTAAAGCATTAAAATATAACCTACTCTTTGGCCTTCCTGTCCAGCTTCGACTTGTATCTGTCCAGGACGTGATTCGGATCGTGATGCGTGGCAAGGAAGCGCACATCATGCGCCCGGGCCCATCGTCGTTGAGGCGTGCGTGCCAGGGACGATCTACCCCGGAGTAGCGACTGAAATGCAGAAGGTCTAATTGACGACGCCATCCTTTGCAATATGGTCGATGCGGTGCGGAGGAAAGCGAGAGACTTCGGAAGGTCGAAGTATAGAGATAAAAAATGATTATATAATCATCGCAACCATCGGTCACCGAGCGAGGTCGCCGAGCAGTTGCTGAGCCCTAACACAACGTATCAAGGTCTCTTCGTAATTTGTATGCAACTCTATCTAGGTTCAGATTCTATTGCATGTACAACTACCTGATCAGAGTTATATGTGTTATATACAAGCAACTAGACAATCATGCTCTCCGGAGGTCCCAAGTAGCTTGGCCTGACTCCTCCAAGGTTGACAACGATCTTTTGAAACACGACTCCGGGTTCTACGGCCCAAAGCTTCAGTGTGTTCTTTTTACCGCCGCCTTGAATTGCATGACTGGTAGTATTGGTCCACACGGCGTTACGGACCGTAGTGCCCCAATTCGATGGCAAGGATCCCAAGGGAGTTGAGGGAACAAACTGCACCACTTGAGGGTCAGCGTCATTGATGGAAATGGCGTATTTGAGAGGACGGGAATGATCGGTATTGAGCGATGGTCCCAGGTAGACCGTAGCTTTGACAGTGGACACGTTGGAAAACAAGTACATATCATACTCGAGTCGAGGAGAGGATGGAGGCTGTTGTGTTTCAACCGTGACAGGGAGCAACGTTACCCCCGACAGCGTATGGCCATATCTTGGAATGACGGCGTACGAGACATCAGCTGACGATGTGTTACGGGTGGCATGTTCAGCTTCCATGCTGACTGTGCCATCCGATTCCACAAAGCCATGGAAATCAGCTGGAACTGACGTCTTGTTGACAGGAAGTTGGACTGTGGGCATTCCAAAGTTGCCGTAGTCATCCGATGAGATGGTGACATTGATTAAGGCTATGTGAGACCCGGCGGGCACCTTCTCCCAGTCGATGGAGAGCTGAACCCTGGCATCTGTGTTATTTCCAGAGGCTGAGATTTTGCCGGACGAGGGGGACGCCTTGACCCAGGAATCATACGGCGATACTGTAAAGGTGAAATCGTGCGTTCCGCGTGAGTAAACGTCAATCCAGCGAGTGCTTGGTCCGTAAGGATCCATCGGTGGCAGGGACAGAGAATTAGACGATAACGAATGCCAGACATCGTCACCCGGTACCGATGCATTGCTTGCTTCGACAGACACACCCATGCTTCCTGCTAGACTTTCCTCGAGCACTTGGGTATAAGCCAGAGGGGGTAATGTGTTCCTCATCGGCTGCTGCCTGTTGGCCCCTGATGAGTACCAAATCAAAGATGTACAGAGACGAATTAGACATACCAGTAATCATAACCGAGATGTGTCTGCTCCATTATATGATTCCACTTGCCATCAAGAAGTTTGTGGTATCTCTGCGTCAAAGCGTGGTCATCATTGAACAGCTTCAGGGCTTGATCCACCAAACTGTTGGCGCTCGTACGGCGCTGGCCTGCGTACAGATTGTTTCTTGCCGCTGTGATATGGATATTGGTGACAATTTGGCCAGCCATGCAAGGCTGCAAAACGAGCTCGAAGAATGCAGGACGGGCTGAATCTTTCAACTTCTGGTATACGCTCTGAGCATCGTTTACGAGTGTCCGCCACTCCTCTTGAACCCGGTCCGCTTCGTTATAGTTGATCACGCTAAACGTCGAGCTGTCAATGAGCTCATACTTTCTCCGCGCAGCATACATTCCGT